AAAAAAAAAAAAAAAAAAAAAAAAAACAAAGTTACGCCAACTTAGACTCTGCCATTTAAAAAAAATAGCATAGACAGAGCACGGAGCATGCAACCAATATTTCGGCTAAAACGACTTTTATTCCACAACAAGACATCAACATCATTTAAGTTTTTCAACACACTATTATTAAAATAAACTGGTTAAAATTTATCAATATATTAGGCCGAAAAAACTTTTTGCTCAAAGAAACATTTCAAAACAGTGAAACTATTATCCTCTATAATCTCTATTATTTATTAGACACTTTTTTGTGTAACAAATATTTCCAAACTCAAAGCAACTTTATCACGAACAACTGAAGCAGCGAATATGGTACAGTTTTAAAGAACAACTGCCATACAGACTTAGGAAATCGCAAAGTTTTTCACATAAGATTGTATTTGAAAAGCGTCTTCAATAGTTTCCGTAACCTAAAGAATACACAATAAAATAGATAACTTTTTTGTACTATACAGTGCTTCTAAATATTTTTATGAAGTATTATTGAAATCAATAAACTCAGATAAGTTGACACTTTTTAATACTTAATCTTAATAATAGGGACTGAACATGTTCTTTTTTTGTTTATTTCTAAGTTTATTGCTTCCTTCAATATTTGAGTAGAAGTTACTACTGCTGCCACCATACATACCAGTATTTGTTTGACCAGTTTAGAGCCCATAAATTTCGCCAGCATAAGGCCAATTCATTCCTCCAAATCTGTTATAAGGACACAAGCCACCCGGACATCTGTTAGAATAAACACCCATTCCAGGCATTCCATAATAGCCGGTGAATACTCCGTTGCCTATTCTACCTGTTCCACACCAGCAGTTTGTTCCTCCAAATCTGCCACAGAGAATCCCCATTCCACCGCAACAGTGGTTCACTCCTCCAAATCTGTTATAGAAACTGTCTATTCCGCCCATTCCACTTGTTTCCCCTATGCCGGTTAATCCTCCAAATCTATTATAAAAACCGTTTATTCCGTTTATTCTACCCATTCCACCCATGTTGGTTAATTCTCCGAATCTGTTATAAAAACCGTTTATCCCGTTCATTAGACCCAATCCACCTCCGTCCGTTAATCCTCCAAATCTGTTGTAAAAACCATTTGTTTCGCCCATTCCACCAATACCGGTTAACCCTCCAAATCTGTTGTAAAAACTATTTGTTCCGCCCAGTCCACCAATACCGGTTAACCCTCCGAATCTGTCGTAAAAACCGTTTGTTTCGCCCATTCCACCAATGCCGGTTAACTCTCCGAATCTATTGTAAAAACCATCTATTCCGCCCATTCCACCAACAGCGGTTAATCCACCGAAACCGTTATAAAAATCACCCATTCCGCCTAACCCATTGTAATTTTTGTACATTCCTCCTGGCAGTCCTCCGTAAATTCCACCTATTCCTGTATCGTATCTACCGTACATGTCTGCAAATATAGTAACAGAATTATTATTTGCATCGGTTTCAAACAGTGAAAAGTTGTAGTTTTAACATTTTTAAAACGCTTAAACGAGGTTGAGAAAGAGCTGGTACGTTGAAACGATTATGTTTACTTGAATTAAAATACTGTATGTCGATTATCAGCACCTGGAATCCCAACTAAATATCCAGCTTGCGCGTTCCCGTTATAAAGTACAGATTTCTTCATCGAGTTGGATTTTTTTGAAGAGCTGTACTCATTTTTGCTGTAGAAACTAAAATTTTTTTCTTGTCTGTCACAGCTTTTATATTGTGGCTTTAAAATGAATGGTTGACATTTCTTGGTTTGGAATGATAAATGTACAGTTTGCTAGATGTATCAAAATTTTTAATGGATCATAGCAAAAGCGCTTATTATCTGGAAAAAAACGACCGAATTTTGATTAACGTAAATGTTAGCAATGACCGAAAAAAGACTGTGAATTGGTTTTCCAAGTGTGAATTATTTCAACACACTGTCAGAGCGGAAAAGAAAAGACAGAATTTTTTTGAAATTTGTCAAACGGTCCAACCTATGTCATTATAAGGAGTTCCAGCGTATCTGAAGGATAAGAAGTAGAAGATACAACACAATTTCAGAAAAATTTCTGATTTAGCATGAAGTTAAAAGGATACAAGATTTTTTTCCATCAACTAGGAGTATTTCAAATTTTGCATGTAGCCTTCTGTATGCAATTTTTTTAGACAGGCTGTTTTAGACGTTAACTACTCAGAAAGCGAAGCGAAACACAGTGACCATTGTTTCTTCAAATGCATAAAAAACCGGGTATCAGTCAAATTACCACAGTTAACAATACCAGTTTATTTCTGCGTATAAAATAAACTAAAAGTTCTGTATTTTTCAGTCCAATTGGTACCAAATTTTGCATTTGCTTCCTTTCATCCGTCAGTGTTGATTAGAACTTTTTGTTCAATTATTTGGAGTAAATGATGCAGACCACAATAAACTTCTAGATAAATTAAAAATTATCAAAAGAAGTATGGAGACAATACTTTAGTATTAATTTTCGGCATTTATATTTATACATATGCGGTTGTTCAATGATGATTTATCTATTATTAATTCTAAAACATAAAGGTAGTCAGTAAATAGAGAAAATTGGAACTGTAAAAATTGTCAAAAAAACAAGTTAAAGACACTTACCCTCCATTTCCATCAAAAAAACTTGCTGCTTTATTTTGGTTAAGCAAGTTGAGCAAGAAGAAACCAAAAAAGATTGCTGCTCTCATCTAAAAAGTATTACCGATTGATTTCGTGGTTCAGAAACAATAATGTTTTGGTTTTTTGTCGTAGAATTCGCGCTCATGCGTACATTATCGCGTCACAACTAAGTTGCATTCAACTACGATTCAAGCTCGCGTTCTCATATCTGTCTTAAAAAATTTGTAAATCCAGTAAAAGCTTGGATAGTTACTGTGACCATTTAATTATATACCCTACCTGAAACTTAAAACCAATTTTTAAAACTTTTCTTTTCTGTTAACTTATAATTAACATTAAAGTAAGTAATGAAGTAAGTTGTAAATATAGCTAAAAAAATCTTTTTTGAAATAATTTATCTTAAATGAAATAAATTTCTCAAAAAAAAGTTAAAATGTAAACACTGTAATTAAACTGAAGACAATGTCGAATCCAAATTACAAAAGTGACGAATTAGTCACTTCTACCGCTGAAATACAAAATAGTGATTCTTAATTAAAACTTTAAATTAGTACGAGAAGTAGGAACCGCTTTTCATGCTGCAAAAAAAAGAAGAGAAAAAGCAAAACAAAAGCGCGTTTGCGGTGTTCTTATATAATTTAGAAGCTGTGCAGTAAAGCAAAGTGGATAAGAATACTTATCAGTTTTTATAAAAAAGAAAAAATTTTTGACGTCATTTTTCTGCAATTCATAAATTAGTTCTAAAAATACAAAAAAATTGAAAGATAAAGCAAGTAAAAGAAGAAGGAAAGGTTTAACCACCCTAAAAGCATGTCAAAAAATTACACAAAAAAATCAGCAACTAACATAATGAGATACTAATTCACTGTAAAAGCGTATTAAGTTAGTATCTCAATAAGACGTGCTGATGACGATTAGATAATAAGCTAGCGAAACAATCGAAAGACAACAAAGAGAACCGAAAGTGTATATAATCTACTGTAACCTAGCTTAGCATATTAGAACCTTAATTCTGCCTAATTACATTCATACATATGTACAGTATAAGTACATTATATATATATA